TGCAGGCGTAGCAACCTGCTGCTTCGGCCGCCACTCCTCCTTGAGCTTTTTGTTCGGAGGTGAGGATGGATGGAGTGGCGGCGAAGGAATGATAGGCGGGTCCTGCAAAATGAGAGGTGCAGAAGGATACACGACAGGCTCGTGTACCTGATCAGAAATAGCATGCACAGGTGTGACAGCAATCATAGCACAGTGATCAAACTCAGTCACAGAAAAAATAGCCTGTTCATTTCCAGCACGCAAGATCAGTTTACCATCATGCACGTCAATAAGTGCCTTGGCGGTGGCGAGAAATGGTCTACCTAGGATCAAAGGCACATCCACATCCTCATGTATATCAAGAATAACAAAGTCAACGGGGTATGTGAATGCACCCACCTTAACAAGCAGATCTTCTACGATACCCCTAGGGTGCACAACGGAACAATCAGCTAGTTGAATGCTCATCCTAGTAGGGATAAGTTCACCTAGGTCTAGCTTTTTGAACAATTTATATGGCATGACATTAATGCTAGCGCCCAGGTCCGCCAAGGACTTTCCTACATGCATGTTGCCAATAGTAAGAGGGATAGTAAAACTCCCTGGATCCTTGCGCTTTTCGGGCAGCTTGTTCTGCAGGATGGCAGAACATTCCTCGCTCAGTAGCACTGGCGAGAGATCCCCCAGTTTCTTCTTGTTGGTGAGGAGATCTTTCATGAACTTTGCGTACTTGGGCATCTTCGACAGTGCCCCCACAAATGGTACGCTGATGTTGAGCTGCTTCAGCATTGCCATAAACTTGGCAAACTCAGTCTCCAGCTTGTCTTTGTGTAGGCGAGTGGGGAAGGGAAGCTGGGGTACGTGCTCTTTCACCACTGGTTGTGGCTTGGGAGCAGGGGCTTCCTTCTCCACCCGCACTTCTGCATCACCGGCTGGAAGTCCTGAAGCAGGTAGTGGTGCCTCCTGCCTGGTCGTGGCAGGATCAGCTGATGCAGGCCTGCCGCTCCTGGTGAAAATGGCATCCAGCTGCTCGTGCGGGTCCCGTGGATTGGGGATGGTGGTGGCAGGTAGAGTCCCCGGGGCCCGAGCAGTAAGCTGGCGCGCTAGGACACCGACTTGGTGCTGTAGATCTTGCAAAATAGCACCCTGGTTCCTCTGTCCTGCCTCCAAAGAGGCTATGCTCTGGTCCACCCTCGTGAAATTCGCCTGGCTGGTGGTCATGAATGTCGCCAAAATATTCTTCAGATCAACCATCTGATTATCTGGAGCTGCGGCTGCTAGAGGCTGAGCAAACTGGCACTGGGGCTGCTGGAATGGCTGCCCTTGCCTAGGCTGGTAGGGCTGCTGCTGTGGTGGTGGCCCCTGCCAGCCTGGAAGTGCTGCCTCTGCTGAAAACCACCTGCTGGTGCTGGGAAACCAGGTGGTTTGTTGGTGTTGCTGCTCCAGGCAAAGTTGGGATGCTGGCGCCATCTCTCATTGTAGGTACTGCTGTATGGGTCCAGGCGCCGAGCATTGGCGATGAAGTCCACCTGCTCTTGGGGAGTAGAAGACTCCCTCATAGACTAACAATCCTCCACCAGGTGATTCGGGCTCTCACACCACTGACACTGAGCTACTGGAGGCGTAGCTACACCTCAACCCGGAAGGAGACTGTTAGGCTGCTTCAATGTCTGCACCAACTCAGCCACCTGCTGCTCTAACCCGGACCTGGCCTCCATAGCATGCACACCCCGGTCCCGGGAATTCATGCCTCTGTTGTTCTGTCCCCAAGAATGATCTCGGGCAGCCAAGGTACTGATCATCTGGTTCAGCTCGGGTGGAGTCTTAGTAAGGATATCCCCTCCTGGGCATAGAGACTCAATCACCCTCTAGCTGTCTGGAGTGAGGGCACTGTAGAAGTTCCCCACTGTGAATGCATCGCTAAAGCCATGATGGGGACACTGCCAGAAGTATCCCATGTACCGCTCCCATGCATCACGAAGTGACTCATCTGGCTCTTGGCGGAAGTGAGTGATCTCCCGCTGAATCTCTGTAGTCTTCGATGCCGGATAGTACCGGTGCACGAACTTGTCAGCCAGATCGTCCCAAGAAGTGATGGACAATGGGGGCTAGGTCTCCAACCACCTCTTAGCATTCCCCGCCAGAGAATGGGGGAAGAGGTGAAGGCGGATTGCGTCATCCGGGACACCGTTCAGCTTGAAACCGTTCGTCAGCTGCAGAAAATGGGAAAGATGTACCCGGGCTTCCTCATCCTTCAAGCCATGGAACTAGATAGAAGATGTAATGAGTTGAATCCAGCATGGCTTGATCTCGAAGTTGTTTGCAGGAATGGGCGGATAGAGGATGACCGGGCGGATGTCAGTAATCCGTGGAGTATAGTAGTACTCCAAGGTGGGACCCGGTGGTGGTGGATGATGATGGGCCCCAGCTCCCTGGGGATTTGGGTCGTTCCCCAGGATCTAGGTCTGAGGAGGTGGGTTCTGATCGCCTTCCATCTCGTACTCGTCCTCGGATTTGCTGCTCAATTGGCCGTCTCTGCGCTCCACCGTAGCCAGTCTAGCTCGCTGTTGTCTCCGAAGTTGTTTGCAGGTGCGCTCTAGCAGTGAAATTTTAGTGCAAATTCAAGCAAACAAAAACACAAAGCAAGTAAACGGTTGTTCAAGTCAAGAGAGGTCACCCGGATATGGTTCCCCCTAGACTGCAGTTAAGTCGAATTGCAATTTACCAAGTTCAGTTTTCATGAAAGTTATACTGTGGAAGGTTCTTAATTAGCCTGAAGTCTCGACTAAAGGTCTCCAGACCCTCTCAATCTGAGTCTCTAGCGGGCGACTAACCTCCACCGGAGTAAACAGATTGAGGCCCTAACGAACCAAACCTCCACTACCGAATTGAATTCGGTACAGAATAGCGAATTGGCTCCTCGACTAAAGTCACCAATTCGCCACCTTCAATTAAGGATACTCTATCAACCTAGGCAGATATTCTCATTCTAGGTCAAAGATGAAACAACAGGAATTTGATCAGGATTCAAGTCATTCTATCATTCAAACCTCAATCGAATATAATCAATTCACAAACTCTGTACTTGGGTTCATACAATCAGACCTAGCATACAAATCTAGTGTTCCCCATACCCAGATGAATGGGGGAACTACTCCATAGAGAAAGAAGCAAAAGCAGATTCAGACGCGGAAATCATACTGTGAAGATGGATTTCTGCTCCTGGACGTTTAATCGGCACTTCTCCAAGCTCAAGCCGGGCTCCAATGGTGATGAAGATCGAGCTATGGCACTTGGGAACTCTGGTTCGTCGCTTTCTCTCTCTAGGGATCGCTTTCTCTCTCAAAACTCGGACCCCTTCAATGTTGGCCTTCTTCTTCCTTTATCAGCTGCCTGGTCGCGATACCCGGTCGAAATACCCGGTCGGGTATTTTGGGTTTCGACCGGGTATTTGCAAAACGCACCGTTCCTTTTAAGAGGAAAATCCCCGGTCTGACTTCATAATCCCCGACCGGGGATTTAAGCCATTTGCCCGGGTCCCCTTCTGTTTCTCACGGACGCCCGAAGTGAAAAATACCCGACCAAGGCCAGAAAATACCCGGTCGGGTATTCCTTCCTTTGGTCGGGTATTTTGGTCCAACAGCCTCCTTCGTCCCAACTTCGCTCCTTTCGACCCAGAACTCGTTTCTCCGCCTCGATTCCAATCTCGGGTCCTGAAATATGACATAAACACACAACCTAGCGTGAAATCGGCTTAAAACACGAGATTCCTCATCACAAACGGCTTCAGAATAGGGGTGAAAACATGTATAATTATCGGTCTATCAAAACTCCCACTCCTTGGAACCACTCGTCCATTTTTTCGCGAAAGTCGGACAGAAATTCGGCGGGTTTTGAGGGAAAAACCAAAGAAATGTTGTCTGATGGCAGATCGGACTTAGCCGTAACCAACAGACCACTATTTCCTAGTCTTTTGGGAGGGGAGGGGATAGAGAGATAATTTTAGAGAGAGAGTGAAGAATGGGTTGTGGTGTGAAGAAATGAGAGAGGGGGTATTTATACTACTCAGACCGCACCCTCCAGGGGCGGTCTAGTAATTTTGCACTCAAAGAAACCGCACCCTCCCGATGCGTTCTCTGTTTATCGAGGCGCTGACCGCTCCTGCCAGCTGCGGTCTTCAATCCATGGCGCGGATCGCTGAGGTGGCGTGCGGTCCGCCGTTGGATCGCCGCCTTATCCAAAGGTCTTGAAGGCCGCTCCCCAGGAAACTCAAACCGTAGCTTCCTAGAGTGGTTTCCTGGCTGACGTGGCACAGACCGCATCTCCAAGGTGCGGTTTATAAATAAAAGTAAAATGTTAGAAATATTCAATTTTTTATTGAAAACCAACAAACAAACTATAACATGACAATTGTATTTACATTTTCGAGATATTAAGGTTGACACAGATTTAAATGTCATTATGGCTAATATATATGACACAATAAAAGTAAAATTCAAAATAATTTGAGTAAAATTATATATAATAAAGCAAATTAAAACATGTCAAGTCGAGAGAAGTACTCATACTCCCCTGCCCACCATGCCTACGAGAGGTATATAACCCACCCAAAATAAATGGGGTAAAACGAATGGGAAGTAAATTTTCACCCATAATCTTATCTCCTCAACAAGACTATTGTTAATATCTCAAACAAGACTTTTCTTCTGAGCTAGCGGTCAGCATCTACTATTCTTCTAAAATTAGATAAGTCCACTTAAATTCGAGTTAGAAAAACTTGATGTTGACATTTAGAAATTTTGTCTAATTTTTTATTTTTTGTAATTGACTTATATTTCTTCTTAAATTAAATTTCACGAGAAAAACTTGGTAATTTTCAATCCACAAAATATAACCCATTTTTTATATTTGTATATTTCAAGTTCTACCCTCTAGAGAACAAGACCGTTGCATGCATCAATAGTACCATTTTAAGGACGTTTCGACTTTGCAAGCAGCTGACGTATGATATGATGATGCATTTAGTACCTGTTAAGGATCCGAGCAGTCCATGAAGGAGCTGGAGAAAGCAAGGAGATGGTGGTGACCAAGATGTCGATCTCCAAAGGTGGGATCCCTATCTTGGCGAGGATCCAATCGATGGTAGAGAAGACCATCTCATCCACCTCGACGTAAGCGTCTGCCAGGCACGGCCGCCCTTCGCTCCCCTCCATCACGCTTTTGGGGCGTATGTTTCCTCCGACATCCCAGACCTGGATGTAAGCCTCGCGCAACTTGAGGAAGAACGACGTTAAACCAGGTATCGTTACTTTCATTTCGATTTTACACCAACGTTCAAGAATTACTCTACAAGTCCCTCACCAAGGAACTCGACCCTCCCAAGATTTCCTCCTTTTGTTCACTACAGCATTACAAGTGATTTTGACTTTCAGAATGTCATGGATACTACGATGTTAAGGTATTGTTAGCTAGACATTATGTACAATAACATTGGGATATGAGGTAACCTTGACACCGCCATCTTAAGGTATTGTCAGCTAGACATTAAGTACAACAACATTGGGATATGAGGTAACCTTGACACCGCCATCTTAAACTCTGACAATGCAAACTTCAAAAAGGTGTTGGAATTCAACCTGTTCGGGTTCTTCCTAGGAGCCACAATGTCACGAGGGTTATATATCATCACAGAAAGGAAAGGTTGAATCTTGTTCACATGCACCATGGCGACTTCCATAAGCGGCAACTCGTCTTAAGCATAAAAGGTTTCCAATTATGCTATTTTGGGGCCCAACAAGAATTTTATGGTGGAGCTGGGTAAGTCTTAAATATTCGATTGGTTCAACAGGTTCACAATATTACTTTTAGGTACGAACTGAATTTATACCTTTAAGAATATGGTACAAAGTTAGTTTGTACATGCTTTTCCATACAAATTTCTTTTTGGTACAAATTGAACTTGTATCTTCAACGTTATAATAAAAATTCAACTTATACCTAAAAGCACTTATAGTTATTAGAATTGTAAAATTTTCGATTAATATATCCATGTCAACTCACAATCATAATTCATTAGTTTGGATATTGGAGAATTTGGACTCAAATCCCTCAATTAAAACCCCAAGAAATTAAAATGTAGAATTTGAATAGAATAACTTGTTTGTTTTATGATCCATAATTGTTTATTGAAAGTTTTAATTTTTTATAGAAAATTTAATAGTACTTTTTTGCCCTTTCATATCTTCCTTCGCAATTCGAAGACTAATTTTAACAGTACTTACTTCACTTGCAAAGTGAATTGGGAAATTTTCACTCCTTCGAAGACCTAATCTTCCCCGCTTCAACTCCGACCACTTCCATGATCGTCGACTTAACCTTCATCCGCAAACCTTTTTCCCCATCTCTCCCATCAAAAATTCCTCTCCCAATTCCCATTCTAAATTCTGACATGCCGTCATCCTAGTCACGTTGATCCTCTTTCGTCCCTCTCTGTCGTTGTTGAGGAGACAGTGGTCAATACCATCACCTCATAAATCAGCTCCTTCAAATTTCAACAACATCGCTTTAGGCATTCAAATTCCTTCTCGGATCAGAGTATTTGTGTGCCCTGCGTCAGACCACGGCTAGCATTGGGAATTCGATCGGCTAGCGGAGATCGATTTTGTGGTGGTTGATTGGTAACAAAAGGAATTTGCCAAGATTTTCAGGGAATCAAAGCTCACTTTATCTACATCTCATAGACTAGGAGAGAGATATGCAAGATTGAGCATGGAGATGGCTTGTGTGACAGCAAGCAAGGACATGGGATCTTCTGGCTCTTCATCTCATGACCATGGCAAGTCCTGCATCAACGATTGCTCTACTGGCCTTGGGAAACTCATCATGGAGATGCTCCTTTGAATCGAAAACCCAAAATGGAACCTCTCTACAAATTAAAAAAAAAAACAAAAGAGAGCGTGGTGATGCACGTTCACTCTAAAATGTTTTTCGTCATATTGAATCGAGGACGAGTACGACTGTGGTCGTCGGAGACGATGATGGGGTGGAAGGGGTGGATTTTGGCCGTCAGAGACACGTTTGATTGAGGTATTCGGAAACAGATATGGGGGCGGCATGGGTGGATAGAGGTTGTCGGAGTAAGAGATGGGGACGGAAGGTGGATTGATGCTTCACAGCGAATTCATAGTGGTGGTTGTGATGGCTAGTGAGGCCAGAAGATGGAATGATGGAAGAGATGTTGGAGGTCGGAGAATGATAAAGGAGATGTCTTGTGTATGGTCCATTGAGAAGAGATCGGAAGGTAGATTGGGAACGATTGGTCTGGTGTTGTGTCTGTCGAATGAGAAGAGAAGAGAAGGGAAAATGGAAATAATAACAAAAGAGCATGGACAGATTGGGAAAGAAGGTACAAATAAGTGTCGGGTTTAAAATTTTCAAGGGAGATTTTCAGTTATTTTAAAATCCGATCATTGAGAATTTTGAAATGCGGCATGCTCAAAATCACTCGTTGTAACAACCCATACCAAATGAGTGATTTGTACATAATCCGGCACGATGGGGAATTCAGTAAAATCCTACATCCAAACGACCTCAAATGAAACAAAATAAACACACTTTTATTGATAAATTCATTATTGGAGACCGTAATTTTGGAAACAAAGTGGAAACTTTTAACGGGTCACATACACGAAGAGAAAACAAATGGAAGAAGTAAATTTGAAGGGTTCACTATATTATGACCCAGAAATCCATCAAACCCACAGAATAAAACCATTACGCACCGCAAGATTCTAAGTTATCAATCAAGTGACCCAGCTTTTCTATGAAAGTGTTTTCCAAGTGGGTTGGAGGGTAGTCATTGATACAGTCTTCCCACACGCTTGGCCTTCCCAAGTCTCTCATTACCTCCCAGACCGAGTTATTGCACTTGAAACCCGCCCCAAGGCTTATCATCAGAATCACATCCCCCTTTTTCAGCCTCTTCTTAGCCTCCATATACGCCAAAACGTACCACAACCCGGCAGAAGACGTGTTCCCAAACCTGAAGAGTGTCATTTTTGCTGGCTCCACGTCGTAACTGTCGAGCCACAATCTCTTGCCTACCGTGTCAATCACTGCCCTCCCTCCTGGGTGAATACAAAAGTGATCAATTCCAGACTTGAGATTGACCCGGACAACCTCCGGTTTTGAGTTTCCTTCTTTTGACCGCCCGACGAGACCTCTAAATCTGTTCCACCTAGACACCAACTCGTAACGGACCATCTCTCGTGTGTGTAGAACCTTAGGAAGCAGCACCTTGAGGTTCTTGGTCAATGCGTCCGCAGCAAATGTGGTTAGTTTCTTGGACAAGTGAAACCCTCTAAAACCAGACTCGTCCTCCTTCTCGAAGCAGCAGCGATAAGCTTCGTCGTCCTCTCCTATGTGGGTCCGGTGCAGGCACTTGAGTTTCAGTATGGTTCGGTTCCTGAGGGTCGGTTTGTTGGTGAAGAGCATGGAGCATGCGCCGGCACGAAACAGGATGTTGGAAAGCAACATTGACTTCTCCTTGCCGCCGTACCAGTTCTGACCCATGACCTCCGTGCTGACGACTATGGCATTGCAGTTACTGTTGGATTTCATCAATTGTTGGACCAAATCGATTCCTGAAACGCTCCCACTGCAGCCCATCCCCGAGATATTATACACCTTCACGTCTTCCCTCATTTTGTATCTGTCTCACACATACATATATATATTGAAAAGCTTGTCAAGAGACGGCGTTGGAGGATTTACTTTTCACCATTAGGCTATACATATGCTATAAAATATAAAAAAAGTTCCTGCCTAGCACAATCTTTTTTTAATAAGGGCGAAATAAGAAAATTATTATTAGGGGTTAATTAAAAAAATTTAATGACGGACCTCCAAGTTGAAGATTATTGGTCACTAAACCAAACATTTATTCAACATGTCTACCACAAACTTACCACAATGATATGTTTACTATATCATTATATTATAGTATAATTTTATATGTGATATATTATGATAAAAAAATATATTGATATATGTACTTCCAATACGACTGCTGCTTCATATATATTTCAATTAATACGAGGTCAATTGAGGTGATTAATAACATCCATGCTTGAGATAGTACGTAGGAGTGGCGAATCATTTTCCTTTTTATGGTGTTATTTTTTTACAATCTTACATATACGTATGTTACATTTTAAACAACAGGGACCACTTGGTAAATTTACTGGAGATCAGTATATGAACTCATTGGAATATAATTTTCCTATTTTCTATTTCTTGGCGTATATAAAATATTCTACAATTGGATTAAATTAATATGTAGGTAGCTTGATTATTAAAGTGTTTCTTCTTTGCCCTCGGTATGGGGTGAAGGTTTAGCTTTTAAACCAATCAAGTTTTCCCTTTATAAAACAAAAATATATTGGAAGTTCAAAGCATCCCTCCCGAGGGTTAGGAGTTGCATGCATCAAGATTCAAAAGTGCCATTTTCAAGGACGTCGAGACTTGCTTGGGGAGCTGCATGCAGCCGACGTATGATGATGCATGCATTACCTGTTAAGGATCCGAGCAGTCCATGAAGGAGCCGGAGAAAGCAAGGAGATGGTTGTCACCAAGATGTCGATCTCCGAAGGCGGAATCCCTGTCTTGGCGAAGAGCCCGTCGACGGTAGAAAAGACCATCTCGTCCACCTCGGCGTAAGCGTCTGCCAGGCACGGCCGCCCTTCGCTCCCCTCCATCACGCTCTTGGGGCCGTACGTTTCCTCCGACATCCCGGACCTGGAGGCGGCCTTCAGCAGGAACCTCAGCTCTTCCAGCCCGAGGTTCCTGGTTCGCCCCATGATCCTACCGGCCGTCATGGCGTCCAGTTTCCTCTCGGCCGGCGGCTTGTAGCACTCGTAGTCCAGCATGTAGCACGTCTGGTGCCGTCGCTTCTCCACCGCCGATTTGCAGACGTGGAAAACCAGGAACAAGAGAGGCAGGACGTAGAGTGAAGCTATCACTGACAGAATCTCCATGGCTAACCAAATGTGTCTTCTTTTTACCAGTGTGAGAAATATTGGGTGTAATCAAGCCTGGTTATGTGTGTTTTCTACGAATGGGGGCTAATGGGGGGTTTATATAGTGGTTAATGGATGTAGTGTCAATAATGCTACATTTATTCAGTTTCTCTAACAATTAATTAAGTTAGGAGAAATGTGCATTATTGTGGACACCCTACAGAACGTAATGAAAATGTGCATTATTAATCTGACCCTACAAGACTTACGAAACCGGAAGAATCAGCAGCCGCTAGGGCGGCCTCACACTTGTTTCCCGGAGCTTATTAAAATAACATATAATCTGAATTGGAAGCATGGGTCGGATCAGCTGGCAGCTGTAACGCCAAACCGCCACCATCCATCCACCCACGGCCATAGCTAGCAATAATGTTAAATTCATTAAAGTTATTTTAATTATTTTCATCGGATAAGCTTAAGCCTATAATGTCTATATGCTCGACAAGACTCTTTAAAATATTTTATGGTTTAAAACTAAACTTTCATTCTATAGAAAAGGGAAGTTGTGCCAAATATCTGTGCGAACAAGATTTTCTTAAAAGCGACAATTAGTTCACATAACGAAAGCATAAAAGCATAGAAAGTTTTTTTTTTTTTTTTTTTAGAGTGAGGACTAACTGAAATCCATCAAGAAACAATACACATATATAGTTCGAAATTTTGAACAAGAAAGTATTCATGTCGTGTCTGCTGATAGGGGATAATCCTAAATTAATTATTTGTATTTAATTAATGTCATTAGTTG